CACCCGAGATCAACTCGATACCATTATCCGCGCACGAGGATACAACTGCTTCAAGATTTACATCTATGACCAAGTTAAACGGAAACGGAGAGAGAGAGAGAGAGAGAGGACAAGCCTGACGAACACCACTTTCCGTGGTGAACTCAGGTGAAAAAAGACCTTAAGCTCGGACTAAGCTTCGGCGGTTCGTATAAAGAGATCGCAAAATTGAAATTAACCTCTCAGATACATCCCTCAGAACGATGGTACTTTAGGAACTTGATAGGAAGATAATGTGACGACAACACGACAAGGTGACGAAGACTGAAGGGTGTTTGTGGGAGGGAAAGCTAGCTTCATATTGACCGGTTCGGGATGAGCTTGGTCTTTGAGCGAACGAGAGGAAGAGGGACCTTCACCTATAAACAGGACTTCATAGTCAGGAAGGGAAATGAAGTGGGCCGGTATGAATGAAAAACCCGGAATCAAGATAACACATGAAAAACAAGAAAGGTTCTGAATAAATNAATTTAGAGCAAACTTGATTAAATGAAGAAGACGTGAAAACAGATAAAAACGGAGTTGATCATAATAATGACGCAAAGGATAAGGGTTTCGAAGATAAACGAAATCATTGAAGAAAAAGCGACCTCAGGAGTTGGAGATTAACTCGGTTCCTAAAGCCTCCGTTAGAAAACAGTTTCGTTTAAGAGTGGTACAGCACAGCGGCCCTCTATCAGCTGACCAGCACGACAACTCAGGAGCACTTTTCAAGTAAATCGATCTTAATCGGATAACAAACCGAAGCGCTCAAACGAACCACCTGACTTTCAAAAATAATGGACCCGCACTTGTTTGTACAGTGTCAGAGAATGAAAACGCACTACTGAGAACTTGTGAAGCTCAATCGAAGCCCGTGTGCAGTCAAAAAGAAACTCACCTGATTTGGCGCTCGGGGATACCACGCAGTTTTTCACACAATTGTGATACCGGGATTCCCCGCTCGCCTACAAAAGTTCGAACGATAGATAAGATTTGGTTTTGGAGCACTGTCAGTCCATTTGCAATGGACCCGGACGGAACGGATGAACCCGGGACTCCGATTGTGCCTTTTGGCCCCGCACCACTTGACTCATCCATTTTGGCTTTTGTATAGAGCATACGGGCAAATATCACTTCCATTATGTGAGTCGTAAGTTCGTTCATGTCGGTAACCGGAAGAACCTAAGTTGATTTTTAGACGATGAACAAACGGATGAGAAACTAAAAACAGTAATGATAATAATAATGCAATAATTGAGAAGTGAAATAAGATAAGTGGGGACTTGAACGTATTTACCGCAAGCTCTGACATGGACTAACGAAAACAACGCGAACTACACAATCAATTCTTGAAACTCTACCAAACACACTGATTCGCTTTATGGATAGCATAAATGCATGTAACTGGGATCGTCTACAGATCGAGGACAGCTGAGTGGGCACTCCTGAGGCTAACCATCAACATCATCATTGTACAGCAAGAGTAAACGAATTGAACTTTGTTGACTGCTGTCAAACTCACAATGTACACAAATTAAGTGCGAAAGTACAAGACGGATGGGGATTGGGCTTAATTGGAGGGGGAAAGAAATTGAACGTCTATGGTCAACATATAGAGTGCACAACCCAGCAGTGCATACATACATAGTGTCTCCAAACAACCAGTTTTTCAAGCACTTTACCAGGGCGTGACCGCTGATGTATGCATTAGTTTCTTGGAGCCCCAAAGGTGGCTTGGATGACTGATAGGAAATAATGAGATGGAGGATCTCCCTGGGGCTTTATGTAGTTCGCCACTCCAAGTCCCGGGGCTCAAGTTACTGGCTTCCATAACGGAACAGCAGGTCCTCGTGACTACGGGGTTTACCCCGTCTTCTGTTCATCACACGAGTGTGTAAAAAAGGGGGCACGATAGTCTGCCAGCTCAGACGGGCTATCCGTAACCGACACCGCCTACAGACTATTTGTGCACATCCACTTTCGACACTGAAGAGGTCACTTCAGCTAATAAACAAAGGAGCAGTTTACCGATAAAGAACTCTGATGAATGTAGGAGTCGTGATTCTGAGGCTCTCCTCACCCCCCTCCCTTTCGACGATGAGTTTCCGTTCGGCATTGAACAGATTTCACTTACCCAAAATAAGCAGTTCCAGCCAATAAGGTACTGTTTTGCCCGCCAGCCTCATAGGGTGCACGAGGGTAAGGATAAATAAACACTGAATCTGTAGACTGAATACAAAACCGAATCCCCAAGGCTTTATGTAGCAAGTGTGAAGAAGCTCGGTTCCCATCGGATTTAAAACCTACTATCTTGCTGGTTAGATTTCTGATCCGATAGGGTTAGGGTTTTGAACGAAAACACTCCGTGGGTTTTCATGAGGTACGCCTTATTTGTAAATTTCTATGCTTATTTTGAAAACCCTCTTTATTTGTACCACATCATGACCAAATGATGATAGGAGTGTATCGAAAAATCGATGCGCCATGTGTTGTTTTATCGTGACTGTTAATGTTATAGTGTTAATAACACAGCGATGTCGGTAGAGAATTACATTCGACGACATTTCGGTTACCGTGGGTAATCTTTCTCAAGGCAGGTTTTACAGGTTTTAGGATTGTAAAACCTGCCTTGGGGAAGGTTACCCACGGTAACCGAAACGTCGGCGAATATAATTCTCTACCGACATCGCTGTGTTATTAACACTATAACATTGACATTCACCCTCTTTATTTG